AAACCACGGAGTACTACTTAAGTGAATTCTACTCGTATTAATTACATTCTTTCAATTATCAACTTTTTACTACTTTTATTAAATAGAGTACATGGATTAAGATATTGATTGTTAGGGTTTTGAATTGACTTTCATGAGGAAAAAAAAAACGAGTACTTTTGTTTCATATTACTTGCAACAAAGGGGGTGAGACATAAAATATTCCTTTGTTGTATGTAATATGAAACAGATGTAGTTTGTCTGCGGCTTTTCTTCTCCAATGCGTGCTTACGATTTTTTTAAAAAAAAAAACCCTAGTTACAATGTTGCATATGATAAACTGCCGCGATACTAAAGGTATATTCATATAGTCAATATTTTTTACTTGTTTACTCATTTGAAGTTCCCCAATTGGTCAACAAAAGACATACTCTCGTACATCATTCAAATAATATCATTCCGTACTATTGAATTTAGAATTTCAGTTTAGTTTAGTTAAATTTAATTTGTAATGATAAAATTACCGATGTGGGCTATAGTAATATATTCTGTTTTCAAGTTTTGAAAATTGGTGGGTCAAATATAAAGCCCATGAAAAAATAATCTGGGCTTTGAAAGCCATAGTACACTTTTGTGCTCAATGGCCCGTACACTCGCATTTCAATTTGCCGGGTGGCATGTCACCCAAATTTGTCTTAATGCCAAAAGATTCTCTTAACAAGGCTTTATCTCATTTTTTTACAGGTTTAACTGAAATTTAACTTCTTGGTAATTTGCACTTCATGCCCTTATAAATTCTATTATTGCAACCCAAATTAAACTTTCATCTACCTCTTAATATCTAGATCCTTCTTCAACTACCGCAATATATTAGTTTCGTTTCTTACAATTGATCGTATTTCTTACGGCTATTTCACCAAATGTCACTAAGTAATTTAAAAATTAACCAAACGTTATTGGAGTTTTCAGAATTCACCAAATTTCACTCAGTTTTTTAAAAATTCACCGAGTGTTATTAATGACCAACGGCCGTTAACTCCGTTAGTCATTAGGGTTTAATCATGACACATGTCATGATATGTTTAGACCATTTATCTTAATTCATAAATATTAAAAAAAAAAAAAAACAAAAACAAAATTTCTCAGCCACCTACCCACCACCGCCAAACCCTAGCCCATCCCCTTATCTCGCCGGAAAACGGTCGGTCACCACCTTAACCACCAACAATCGGGCGACCGGCCCTTAAGCGCCCTACCTGACCCCACCGCCAACCCCCAAAACCTCCCACACAAACTGCCCCGACCCCATAAACCACCAACATTGAAATCGATCGCCTTACCTCCGTCACCAAAATCGCCAAAATCAAGCACCCTCTCCTTACCTCAGTCGCCAAAATCGCGGCTCCTCCCTTTCCCACCCTCGAAATCGGTCATTTCGACGGTGGGAGAAGGGAGGAGGGGCGTTTTATTGGTGGTTTTTGGGGTCGGGGCGTTTTATCGGTGGTTTTTGGAGTCGGGGCGACTGTACGTGTGGGTGGTTTTTGTGGTCGGGGCGACTGTACGTGTGGGTGATTTTCGGGGTCGGGGCGGGCAGCGTGGGTGGTTTTGGGGGTCGGCGGTGGGTCAGGTGGGGGGCTAAAGGGCCGGCGGGCTGATATTTGGTGGTTAAGGTGGTGGCCGGCCATTTCCCGGCGAGGTAAGGGGTGGGGCTAGGGTTTGGCGGTGGTGGAGATGGCTGGGAAAATTTTGTGGTTTTTAAATTTTTTATTTTATTTTATTAATTAAGATAAATTAACCAATTATATCTTGACATGTGTCATGATTAACCCCTATTGACTAACGGAGTTAACGGGCGTTGGTCATTATTGGCACTCGGTGAATTTTTAAAAAATGGGTGACATTTGGTGAATTCTGAATAGTCCGATGGTATTTGGTGAATTTTTAAATTACTCAGTGACATTTGGTGAAATAACCGTATTTCTTATCCTGTCATTGACTCCATTCTCGGTAAATGTTTTTTTTTAATAACTTTACTTCACTTTATTCCACCTACAACATACTATTTCTTATATTTATTTATTTTTGAACGGACATACTATTTCTTATATAAATCTCTTACAACACTCGTTTTTCTTAATTAATACTTGTATTACAATAACTACATTCATCATATCGTCCTACCTTTTTCTTTTCTTCCGTATGACCTATATGTTACATTCTCTCTATCAGTCTATCTAAAACTAGTGATAGTTGTAATTAGCACAAAGGAATGGAAGTGGAATATCAACAAGTGACCATATACTATAAAAAAACTTGGAAGTAAATATGATTTAATGTTCTAAATTACTAAATAGCCGTATGAACCATGTTGAACATTTTTAACTATTTGTTGCAAAACATTGAAATTTTCAACGATATCTGTTTTCACATGTTTGATTTCGTCACGTAGTTTTAGTAAATTCAAATGGCTCGCCCTTCCCTATCATGAATGTTTCAAAGTAGTAACACTTTTCCTTTGCAATATACTTTCTTTGTTTTTTTTTATTTGACTCCTTTCTATTATCATGCTTGTTAATGCATATTTTTAACGACTAATATATTTCATTATCAACATTGTAAAATTATAAAATTGGATATATATATATATATGTATATATATATACACACACTAGTTAAAGTCCCGTGCAATGCACAGATTTTATAAAATTATTTAACAAACTATAACATTAATTTAACAATTATATATAAACAAAGAATTACATTTATAAACGTAAAAAACAATACCTATATTGACATTTTTTTTTTGACAATGATGCATGTAAATTTCTAAGGCTATTGATGTGTTAGACTTTATAAATATGAAAAAAAAAATTAGGGTCTATTGATTATCTATAACCCATGCTATATACCCTATCCTGTCCTTATTTTGTTGACGTAGTTTGACATACACATTGGTTTATACAAGTTTAGTTAACTTTAACTTTAGTTTTCTATATGTAAAAATCAAATTCTTAAAAATGAGTGAGTCATAGGTTTTTTTATTATGATATATAAGTAAGGTGAGGAAAATAATGAAACATCAAATACTCTTATAAAAAAATATTAGCATGAGATTAATATAGAAGTAAGGCTTTCCTAAATTATAATATTAGCATGAGATTATTATAGAAATATTAGCATGAGAATATTGTAGAAATCTTGGAGAAAATTACAAAAATTACTTAACATAAAAAATATATACATATAAGAATATTTCATTAGGTGAATATTATGGGCTATAAATAATTTTTATGAAGAATTGACAAAATAAAAAAAAACACAAAAAAAAGGAAAAAAAAAAATGGAGGGAAAATTTGTAACCAGTGAATGACATGTGTCATCACTGGTTTCGCTTTTAGTATTAAGTTATATATATATATATATATATATATATATATATATATATATATCAGGACGGTTCAAACAAAATCTCATATAATTATGTTTTATTGTATTTATAAATCACAAAAGTAAGTCAAAGTGTAATGTGTAAAATACTACGAAAGTTAAGCGGTGTCAACTAAAAAAACAAAGGAAGAAGTAATTTTAAAATAAAAAATTTAAAAAGGTAGAGGATATAAGATTGTGTCATATCTATAAATGAGAGATAAACATTAAGAGCCCGTTCTGATTGTCTGAACTGAATATATAATGAGAGAAGGAAATTAAGAAATGAAGTTGATTAGGGGATTTTTATCCACCAATCAGCATCCGACACGTGGGCCAGCCAGGTTTCGCCACGTGTCCTTCATGTAGGCCAATAGAAGCCTGCCACGTGTCATCAAGAGATTCGTCTTCCTTGGACCAATTGCAATGTGACACGTGTCCACCCATGCCAAATGGGAAAACCGGCCAACAAGGCCCAATCATTGTGGGAGGCCCAGTCAGCCTTAGGTTTAACCTAAACCTAGTACTGACACGCATCCCAAGGCATATAAATATGCCCATTAATCCTCATTAAGGGGGATTACGCACATTTAACACTCTCACCTAGAGAGACCCAATTACTTTTATTTCCGCATTAATTACTCCTTAATCAAGTACTAACTTGACCGTCGGAGGCGGATCTCCAATCGTCCGGAGCATCCGTTTGTTTTGCAGGTACATGCGTTCGGTTCCAGTCTCAAAATTGTAACTCTCCCGCAAGACATCAGAAAACCCCGAAACAGAAGTGAACTGAAAATAATCTAGACAGAATATTCCCTAATCCTTTTTTTCCCCTAATCCTACATACTCTGTATTAAAATGTATTGGAATTCTATCACTTAAATTCACATCTCACCTTAAACATATGATAATATAGACAGCTATCCCAATTTAAATAACAAAAGACCACTTTCTCATGATACAACTAGCCATTAGATAAAAGGATCCATCTTATTTAGCATGACTAATACAAAGGTCTTTTAAACAATAAGCAAAAATCACAAGGACCAACTTGCAAATATTTAATCCTACTAAAACTAAAAAAGTCAAAAAAAGTAAAAAACCTCACTTTTTTGTACGGAGTATTTAATACACAATAAACGTATGCGTATTGTATACTCATCAATCCTTCTCATACGCGCTAAAATCCTCCCCTCAAATCATAGCCCCCTATTATTGGTCAATTCAACAAAACAAACACGTGTCAAAATCTTAACTAGCGCGTGTATTAATTCTTTTGAATGCGCGTGCTTTAATAGTAATTACATTAAAAAGAAAAAAATATAAAAATTAATTTAATTTATACTTGTTATCTTCAACAGGCGGCCATATAATTTTTATTTTCTCTTTCCTCTGAAATTCAGACGAAATACGCCATTACATTTTTTTTTCCTGAAATTTTTATTTTGAATTTTCATTTTCCAATTTTCATTTTCATTTTTCATTTTTCCCTCTTTCACTTTCTCTTTCTTCTTTGGAGGGAAAACGAAAAAACTTTCAAATCTTCAAAAAAAACTCAAAAAAGTTGAAATTAATTAAAACTATTTTCAGTTTTTCTTTTACTTCCTTTAAATTACTGAAAATAAATACTGGGTTTTTGTTTTTCTCTCTCTTAAATTAATTTTTTTGTTCTGGGTTTATTAGTGAAGCTGAAATCGAGTTCAGGTACTGTTGTTTAGCTCATTTTAGCTCACATTTCAAGTTTAAATCTTGGGTTTTTATCTGGGGTTTGAAATTTTTAGGGTTTATGTTAGGCTACATTTGAAGTGATTTTCAGTAATTTGGGGTTTTTTTATTTTTAATTTTATTTTGTGGGTTGATATTATTTGTGGGAAATCTGGTAAAGTTTTAGAGTAGTTTATTTTGAGATTTATGGAGTAATTAATTATTGGTGCATTTTTAGTAATCTGCATGATTTGAAACATTAGATGATTTGTTCCCATTTCTGTTTAGGAAGCTGAATTTGTAATTTATACTGGGAAATCATATAATTTTATTGGGTATGAGATTAATGATTTTGTAATTAAGATGAATATTTTCTTGGATATTTTGGGTTGTGAGATGTATATCTATGATTTGAACTATTACAACTGGAATTGGAATATGATTCATTTTTTTTTCAGTGCTATTTACTTGTTTTGAGCTCTCAATTTGTGGTGTTACTGTGTAATCTGCTAAGAACAGAAGAAAATTTAAGCTCATTGTAGTTGGTTCTGGCATGCGATTGAATTGATTGATTGTTACTCTTAGTAGATAGGAAGAAGAAAGTAACTCAGTTGCTTGTTCGCCTTTCGAGGATTTGAATCGTGTAATTGATGCAAGTAGCAGTATTTCTTGTATATTTCTTTGGGGTATTTTGATATATAGGTGTGATTATACTTCATGAGTATTTTTTTTCCTGCCATATTTATTGTTGATTTTAGTATCTATTAAATTGGCAAGTTCTTTGGTAGGAGACTCTTGAGTCTTGATATTTAATTCTCATTGCAGAATTTGAGTTTTCTCACTTACAACTGATACAAGGAGTATCATTAGCAGTTTGATTGCTTGTGTTTAGATTGACTAGACTACATTTAAGTTTGTATGTTACAGCTTACTAGTGTATCTGAAGTTAAGTGGGATATAATCTAAGGTCTTGTACATAAACTTCCAGTGCATTGTCAAGCAGTTTATTGTAGCAATGTTTTGTTAGGCTACCTATAGATTATCTATATTTTTCTTCGCCGTGATCCATAATCTCAAAGGAGATATTTGGTTTTGCAGCTAAACATCCGAATTTGGTTTCTGACTGAAGTGTGGTAAATAATAAAGTCCAAAGCATTTTAACTTTGGCAATGCAGACCAAGAAGCGAGTTTCTTCTAAAAGTTCAGCTCGAGAGCCTAACAACACAAGAACACTGAGATCTCAGAAGAAGGTATCTGAAAATGTTCAAGTTTTTGCGAAGAAAGGTGCAGATTTTATTACATCATCTGCTAGAAAATCAAACTATGGTAAGAAAAATCCCATTTATTGCTAAAAATAAGATGTTGCCACTGCTCTATTTGCACATTTCTGCTGCTGTTTCGTAAAATTTTGAATCTGTATTAAATGTAATATAATACACATTGATTGACATGTGGAATAATGATCTCTTGATATCAATCTCATTTATCTAATACAAACCTTGCATATCAAACTCATCTATCTAACTTCATGCTTTGTATAATTGTATTCTGTAAATGTCTCAACCTTGATAAGTAGCTTTTAAATTTTAAGCTGTGATTTTCACAGAATCCTGATGGGTTTGTGCATGACTTATATTGAAGTATTTGTCCATGTTTCAATGGGGATTGCACTGTGGCAATTTTTTTTTCAAGTCGTTTGCATTAAATCTTAATCATTATGTTTGTAATATGTGTTTTTAGTTTGTGTTAAATTCGCCTGTCCTTTCTTAAGGCTATGTACTGAAATTCGCCCCAAATAGAATGTGAAGATGTCCGGAACTCCTTATTTGGGTTTGTGTTGATTCACTTTAGGGGATAGCTAAAATTGAGCTCTTAATTTTTTTTAAAGACCTAGTCAATCACTTGAAGATGAAGTGCCAATCTTGTATGCAAAGGTGAGCTTTAAACAGCCAGATCTACTGTTGTTGATGTTTAGCTGGAAACTTCAGAATCTGCAAGCAATAAAAATAATTAGAACTAATTGTAGAAATTATGTTTGAATGTATTCTTACGAAAGAAGGACATTTGAACCTTTCAAGCAACACAAGATTTATCACTTATGCAACTCTGCACTTTTGTGAACTCACTATTCCTTTTCCTCATTTAAGTGAAAGTCCACTAGGTACAATATGGTTGATAGGTTTTTTTGGTGCTAAATATGATAATGTGTGATATTATTTGTTCCTCCTCTCTAATAGGAAAGGAAATCTAATAGTAATGAATGAAATGAAAGGATCTAAAAAGATGTATTTGGAAGGAAACCAATAAATGCAAAAAGCTTAGATTGGAAGGGAAGTATTATGTACGATGATGAAAATAAGCTCTTTCTATTCTTTCCATTTCTGTCATATTCACCTTCTCTTTATCTCTTTTGCTGTCCACTTACTATATTCTGAATCAATAGTGTAGTAGCAGGATTTTGTGTTTGAAACAGACATAAGAGTCTAAACGGTGGTTGGTTGGGTTTTATGGATCCAAATACTTGTATTATCTGGTGACTTTATTGATAATAAATAAGCAGATAATGTCACAACTCACAAGTCAACTTACAACTCATGGACTGATGAATTTTTCTATTAATATTTTAGTGATTGTTTATTATAATCATGCTGCAATGTGATTGCCTCCAATGTATAGAAACACAAAATTTTACTAAAGAATGGTAGAGGAGAAGTAACAACTGCTTGACAATCTTGTTGGTGTTGACATAACTGCGATTATGCATCATGTTTGACTACATTAACAGATTCTTTCCTATAGGAACCAAACAATTGTGATTATGTTGTGAGTCATCTGATATTGAACCAAGACAACCATGGGCTTATAATAGGATAGTTATGCATTAGCGAATAATAATTAAGGTCAAAAGCTTTAGGTTATTTTGGTGTTGGTTAACTTAAGTATGTGTTTTATATGGCATGAACATTTAATTGATGTTAATTGGATGCATAGAGGGAGTGCACATGTGTTAGCAAATAATGTTTAAGGTCTAAAGCTTTAGGTTATTTTGGTGTTTAACTTAAGCATGTGATTTACATGTTATGAACATTTAGTTGATGTTAATTGGATGCATAGAGGGGCTGTGCACTCTGGAGGTGTCTAACAGACTAGTCTCAGGTTGTTCCATGCTTAACTGCTGTAGTTGAAGACCCATATTCGAGCATTTTCATTCAAGGCTTTTTTGAAAAATCCTTGGCTCAGTAAATTAGTTCAAGGGCAACGAATTTTGAGCTAGATACTATTGTGTTGCTGCATCCTGCTTTTGGATTTTAAAGTTAGAACTTGAAAGATTGATTGCTATTGATAATGTCAGCAAACACATTCTACTTGATCTTTAATTTGGCTAAAATATTATCATTAATTTATTGTGATGACAAGTCAAAGTCTGTGCCTTGCGGCTATGTTCTGATCAGGACAGTGATATCACACTGTTACCCGTACATTGAGCTCATATATATTATCATCTGGCTGTTTTTTTTTTTTTTTTTTTTAAACTTCAGGTAGGTCTGTAGCTAAAGAAAATGTAGATTCCGCTACTGTAAGCTTGACCTCGACATACAACTTAATGCAAGATGATGCCTGCAATGTATCTTTGGTTTCGGATGTAGTTTGTAATGGTTCTACAGACCTCAAGGTAATTATTTTTGCTGCTTCTAATATGTTCATGTTTTTTGAACACCCCCCCCCTCCCCCCTCTCATTCTTTCAGCCATGGTGGTTTAAAAGGGTGGGTTCTCTTAATAATATGCCTATGCATTTATCTATCTCTTTTAAGTGTTATCTCTATGTTTATGGTGACATTGTGTGTGTGCATGCTCCAGTAAAAATTAGGGGTATCTTAAGCATACGTTTTCCTTTTTATCCTGGAAGATTTGGCATTATTGAAATCTCCTCCAAGTCTTAGGCAAGGCACTAGAATAATCAATGGAAAATAACAGATTAACTGTAAGGCTAAGGATATGAATAATATTTACTTCAGATTTTTACTAAGATAGAGGGGTGTAGTGTTTGTTGTAACGTGTGAAAGCAGATGATTGCCGTGTCAGGTTAGCGGATCATAATGGTGATGTTCTTTTTTGGTGAATACCTTTTTGTACCAAAATTAGCAGTTTAGAACAACTTGAGTATTTAACCACCAAAATTGCTATAGGTTCAGCTGTTCAAGGTCAGGTCTGTGTCATTCTAGGTTACATGAGATGGCCGGGTCCTCTTGTCCGGCCTCGAAGCTACAAAACTGTCAAAAATTCCATGAAGCACTCCTGTGAGAATTTTATGTGCATACTAATTGGTTAAGCACACCACCTTTTCCTAGTGAAGGCTTTTGAGTTGCCCATTATAGAGCTTTAATTTGGATTTAGCTTGTATACCCAATGAACAGCCAATTTACAGTAAAATATTAATGGCTCAAAATTTGTGAAAATGTGAGAACAACCTTTCTTTGGTGGAATCCAACATGAGTACTAAGCTTGTTATTTTTCCCAGGATTTTTTTATAAAGTCGAAAATTGGGAACACAGGGTTAAAAAAAAGGTGAAAATAGGGAAAGGTGTGGAAAAATCCCCAAAAAAGGATTGAGTTTGGGAAAATTATGAGAAAGGGTATTTGATTTTTAGGTGGGAAAAATCCCAAAATGAGGATTGAGCTTGGGAAAATTATGAGAATGGGTATTTTATTTTTAGGAGCTCTTAGGGGGCCAATTGCACTTTTTTTTGAGGTTTGGGCATTGTTTTCACCTCGGAATAAGGTATTGTGGGAAGGAAGGGTTGTTTGTGTTGGTGACGAGTGAGGAGTTCTGTTTACATATGATATGGTACTTCACTTAAAAATGTTGAACTATTTTTTTTTGTTTTTCAAATATAAAACTTGTATGTACTTCCTTCATTTTTTTTAATCGCACTATTTTCCTTTTTGGGAAGTTGCATATTAATTGCATCATTTCCCATGTAGTATGCTTTTATTAGTTTTTGGCTGTGTTCACACACAAAATTCCTTACCTACCCTTGATCACATGTGATAATAACCATTATTACCCCACCTAAGCCATCTCTCATTTGTAATTTTTCACATAGGCACTTTTGAAATACTTCATCTTTTATACTTTATCTTAAATCCCATGCCTAATCAAAATGGTGCAATTAAAAAAAAGGGAGGATGTATTTTATTAGAAAAAAAGGGAAAATATGAAAAATTAAGTAAAAATACAAAAAAAAAAAGGGAAAAAAAAAGACATTAAGTGGTGATTTTTCTTTAATAATGACTATTGTAGCCAAACATGAGATGATATTCCATATAATTTTTCGTTGAAAAAGCTTCATTCATTCCATTATGGTTGAATAATTGTAAACAATTGACTAAAGACAACCATTATGATATAGAATCAATAACATATTACATAGTACTCCATCCGTCCCTAAATTACATTCCTCTTTGGAAATTTACACGGGAATTAAGGAGGAAAGAATTAGACAAATAACAATAATTAGATAATGCAATGGGAAGTACAAAGATAGATTAGTTATTACTCATGACATGTCATCAATCCTTTGCAAAAAAAAAGGACCAATCACATGTTCCTAATTGAAAATTTTTAACCAATCATATTCATTGTAATTTGGCACAAGGATTATGAGTGAAATTAGGTAAGGATGAGTGAGAAAGCATTAAATATAAAACAGAAAAAGAGAGTTGATTTACTAAAAAAAACTTACCAAAAATAGAAAGGAGGAATGTAATTTCGGAATACCAAAAATAGAAAGGAGGAATGTAATTTAGGGACGGAGGGAGTAGTAGGGTAATTTGTTAAGTAATGAATTTGGTAATTGGTGATTAAAACCATTTCTTGTAACTTTTAACTACTAATGCAACATATTTTCATATAACCACGTGGTTGACCCAAACTCAATTCTGGTTCCAAATTAACTTGCATGACCTCAAGGATACCACACACTTTCACTTCGATTTTAGGAATATTTCCCGAACCTAGTACAAAAGTGTTGATTACCTTCAATTTTGAGCAATTTTCGAATTTTCCGGATCCAGGAAGGAAAATGTTGGTAATACTTCTCATGGACACCATGACCCTTTAGGAAGCCATTTAGGCGGTTGGAAGTTTGGAACCATCTATTTTGCCTTTAAACTATTAATTAGCTATTAATTTATATACCTCTATTTGTTAACTTAAGGCTAGCACAAACCTTTATGTACCCAACTAATAGACATCTGTGGTTCCAAATAACATTAGATGACCCCAGTATGCCTCCCTTACCATTCTGTGCGTTTTTCATCTCCAGTTCTCGAAATCTCCAAAAATTGTTTAATTAATTGAATTATAGCCTTGAAATTCGTTTTTCGATACCATAATTACTCCAAGCAAAGTCATGCATCAAGGTGATTCTTAATACAAGAGGCTTCTTTGGTGCTCGAAACTATCTTATTTATGCTTTTGGTCTACTCTTTGTCTCATGTCTCTTTTTATTGATGCGTTGCCTTGCTTTGCCTTGGCCCAAAGGAAGCCAAGACGCTACCCTCAATTGTCAAAACATTTGGTGTTTTTATTGAAGGGTGAGGTGTTTTCCTTACATAGGTTCATAAATTTAGTGGCTTGAGTCCAAATCGTTATATATGAAGATGCGGCAAAGAGGAGCATATTCTAGTAGTATTTTGTAGAATGAATAGGTGAAAGAATATGTTTTTCACAAAGTTAAGTAAAATCACGTTCTATACCATAATTCTTATTAGAATATCTTTGTTAACCAAACCATTACATAGCCGTTGAGAAAGTCTGTCAAACCAAGCAATTAAATAAATAATATTCGTTAAATAGAATATTCCATGAGAGTTTAAGCTTTAAATAAAGTAATGTATCGAAACTAATTGTATCTTATTAGATCAAAGAAACGAAAAGTACTAACATCTCTTGTAGCTACACCCTCTTGGATGCATGCTAGATCAAGTATTATTTATTTATTTATTTGAGTTTAATATGAAGTATCTTGTTAAGAAAGTGGATTTGACTGTATAGCAAGCCATAAAAATGAAATAACGCAAGATCTTGTTCAACTGACATAGTGATCTAGCTATTGGTGCCAGAGGCTTCTTGCATATGAAGAAAAACACTGACAAAGGTATTGAATCAGAAAGAGGTGTAAAAAGAGAGTAATGAAAAAGTTTGCTTGTTTGGGTAGGAGAGATGATAAAGTTTTGTTAAATTTCGAAACAATATGAAATGGGCCTGGGCAACCCGAACAAAGAGGAGGCGAATTTGGTCCACAAACTAGGCTTTGGAGCTTCCACACTAAAACCAATTGGCAATAGTAGGAGTAACTCCTCTACCTTATAAAGTGGAACCACCTCTCCTCTTTCTCCAATGTGGGACACTCACAAGCGGGCTACAATGGGTTTCAACAAGTTTACTTGATTAGGATTTTTAAAAGAACTACTTATTTCTAGAAGATTGCCACTGTGGGATTCTACATTGTTATCTTGGCCATGCAAAATCGCAAAGCATAATGGTCTATGTATTTTAATTTAATTGACATTGATTCTGTATCTGCTCAATATTTTTATAGGAATGGAATGAGGAGAGTGCTCATTGTGACTCGGGTATTATCTTTTCACCATCATTTCACTTATCAAAAAGTGCCGGGGAGGATATTTCGGAAACAGGTGAGTCCTAGATATATCCAAAAATGCTATCTTTCATCTGCTGTATTTGCTTGACTTGGAGTAGAATTCTTTGGTGTTATAATTATAAGTTATTGTGAACATATGCTTTTCCAATCTTTCATCATCCAGACACAAAGGAAGCCTGCATGTCTTCAGAAGTCTCAGCGATTTACCTTGCTATGAAGAATTCAAAACTGGAATGCTTGGATGAGTATGGACAAGATTCTGTGATGGTTGATGCATCTGTGGAGGAGGACGAGGAATATTATGAGGATCTCGATGATTTTGATCCGTACTTCTTTATAAAAAATTTACCCGAATTGTCAACAGTTGTCCCAACATTTCGCCAGATGCTGCTTCCTAAACAAACCCGTAGATGCCCCCCAAACACTCTTGTCTTGGACCTTGATGGTTAGTAAGGTTAACAGTGCTGGAGAAAGTCCATATACTCTATATTGCATTATGTGGTTCATTTACTTATTTGCTATGTTATTCTGACTCTGAAATGCATCATTCATGGGTATGCGTCTATTCTTAGGCCTGGCTACTCTATGGAAAAAAAAAATCTATATATTGTCCATACCCCGAATGTGCTTGAGGCGAAGTATAGAGCCCGAACAACTTAGCTTGTATGATAAATTCAGTGCGCCAAAGATTCACATCAATACGTGTTCTCTAACTGAAAGCAAACTTCTTTTTTCATGGCAGAGACATTAGTCCATTCCAGTCTTGAACCTTGTGGTGATGCAGACTTCACATTTACTGTCAACTTCAATGAGAGGGACCATACTGTATATGTCCGATGTCGTCCCTACCTTCATGATTTTATGGAAAGGGTTGCCGGTCTTTTTGAGATAATTATTTTTACCGCCAGCCAAAGTATTTATGCTGAACAGCTTCTCAATGTGTTGGATCCAAAGAGGAGAGTATTTCGTCATCGTGTATTTCGTGAATCATGTGTTTATGTGGAAGGAAACTACTTAAAAGATTTATCTGTTCTTGGTCGTGATTTGTCACGTGTTATTATAATCGACAATTCCCCGCAGGTATTTGTTCTAACCCAGTCTGTTTATTTCCTTTTGATCTAATGCATCTAGTAAGATGAGTTTCATTCATAACAGCTATACATTTTCCTGTTGTCAATATTGTCATGCATTGTATATTGTAAACCGAATTTACAAAATTACTCCCAAATAATCTACGACCTTGTCTCAACTACTTATCCCCACGATTAGGTTGTCAATCATGGGGATAAGACAGGTAATGTTTATACTTAGCATGGTGTTCAAGCAATCATTGTATTAGGTTGTCAGAAAATTTAAGGCAAGTTTGTCTGATGTAGGCATTTGGGTTTCAAGTGGACAACGGAATTCCCATTGAGAGTTGGTTTGATGACCGTTCAGATCAAGAACTACTGCACTTAATTCCATTTCTCGAGAGCTTGGCTAGGGTGGAAGATGTTCGGCCATTGATTGCCCAAAAATTCAATCTGAGACATAAAGTAGCTGCAGCTGTTTATCCATCTTCAAACTCAAATAGAGGGGATCCATTCGAAAGGTAAGCCTGTCTTTCTTTGGATGTTCGGCTTTAGCTGTAAGAGCGGTATTCTCTTCTTTTGAGTAAATTTTCTTGTGTCAAAGTGTGTCAATTGTAATCAAGTAGCTGATGAAAAAACTTACTGCCTTTACCGAGCACACAACATTGTAATCTCATGTTAAACATTTGTAATTTCAATTCATCTGAGCTCTTTGTTTTCGGACGTAACCAGATGATATAGGTGACCATTAAAACTTCAGATAATATGCATTGTGTCAACATGAATTGTGGTCCTTATACCTTGTTCTGATCAGATAATAAAATCATGTTTCTTGTACTAGTATTATGAGATTGGAATCAATAAATAGCTTCAATGTCAAATTTATTTGATATTTTATCATTTTATTTGTGCTATGGACTTATGGCCCATGGATTGGCAATCGAGACCAAACTGCTGTAGTGGGCTTGGAAGGGCCTTAACCCAGCCGAACTATGGCCTGAGGTAGACAGTTATATATTAATACAAAGTATATAAATTAATGGAAATTTTTTAAATTATCACTAAAAAATTATCCATTTTTTTTTTGAGGGCAAAAAATTATCCATTTTTAAAATAACCACTTGTTTATTTTTTTATTTTATTTACTTTACCATCCCTTAAATTCAAAAACTACTCAGATTGCTACTCATTTTAAAATTCCTGTGGAATTCTCTGATGTGGGCCCTATCCAATGATTGTTAGTGTGACAGGAAGAAGATAATTAGTAGTAGTTGCAATTTAGATAGCAAGCTCTTGGGTTTTTTTAAATTGTTTTCTTTTGGTTTTAGGTTATCTTGTACACAATAAACTAGTTTAAGGGGGTGGAGACGTGGAGTGAAGATAGGGCTGATTGTAATACTTAGGCATAGCCGTTACTAGCCGTCAGGTGGGTCTACATAACAGAAATTCACCAGTGAATTGGGTGCGGCGTGGGGGTGGTTATTTTAAAAATTGTTACATTTTTTGTGGTAATTTAAAAAATTTCCTAAATTAATTAAAAATATGATTTTTTTTTTATACAATTTTGTTAACGAATGCCCCAAGGCAATAGATGAGCATTTAAATTTTACTTAAATGATATTAATTTAGGAATAGATGACAAATTTATTTTAGTATAATTTACGGAGTATTTTTTTTTGAAGAATTAAGGCATGGTAATCCAAGAAGATATTTTGGAGCAAGAATTATGTCTGTATCCAACATTTGCCACATGGCCAAATCAATAGTCTCCAATTTCTCAACCACACATTTCTGCCCGCAGTTTCCTTTATTGTTTGTTTTTAAATCAAATCAAATTCGGTGTAAAAGTTATCATATATTGTCTTCACATAGTCACATCACTAAAAAATAAAAACATAAAAGGAAGTAATTTTAAATTTTTTTTGTTTTTATTTTCACGTTTTTTCTCCTCGTTTAGATATGACCGGTCTCCATAACATTACTCAGTTAGTGTACAAGCTCAATTACTCTACAATCAAGATCCATTAGATCTAGTTTTAAAGAATTGATAGTCGCAAAAATCTAAATTGACATACTTATACAACTATAAAATCTTTGTTTTACTTAAACTCTTGACACTTGAATTTTACTATTTGATGTTGAAAGAATGATATGTACTACAATATTAGTTCCTAAAATTTTGTGTGTATTAAACGCGGGTCTGGGCCACACAAGTCCAAGGAGGTTCCATCCCAAAACTATATGGAAATAGGAGGAGTAGTCTGGCTCTGATACCATATTAAACGCGGATCTGAGCCATACCCGCAAACCAAGAGAGAAAGTCCATTTCACAAGGCCAAGGAGGTTCCATCCTAAAACCATATGGCAATAGGAGGAGTAGCCCCTTAGCCTTATAAAGTGTTTAATTCTCTCTTCTTCAAACAATGTGGGACACTTACATATGGTGACACTTGAAAGATTTATTCTTCAACAATGTGAGTGAAGATATCCAATTAAAATTTAAAGCTTAAATCTTAAAAGAAATACTTAAGTGTAATTATTCTAGTATGCTTGAGGCGAAGATACAATAGTTTGGTCATGTTGATCCTATTTTGGTCGTGTTTGGTGAACAACTGAAACTGATTATGTTTGCTAAATTTAACTAGTTGATTGTATTATTTGATTTGATTTTACTGATTGTAAAAAATTATTAGGTAATTGCTTAAAACTGTTTAAGTATGCAAAATGACCAATAGACTAATCGTGGGGATAAGTAGTTGAGATAAGACTTTAGATTAAATGGAAATATAAATGTAATTTCACCTTAACATATTAAATTAGCTATTGAAATTTTTTCTAAAAGGAGCTTATATGATGGAATAAGCTGTTTGAATCAGCTCACCAACAAACACTCCAAATTGGCTTATTTAGTGAACATTTAGTTAGTATTGGATTACTAAGTTAATTTCGTACAGACTCTTTATGAAACACATCCTTTGACTTGTTAATCTGATGTTGTTTCATATTTTTTTTTTTTATTTGGTCTGTTTCATTTATCAAGCTTGTTAATATAGAAATATAACTATCAACAACTTTAATTCTCCATGAGTAATAATTTCAAAAGCTATACATTGTAATACGGAGTAGTACTTATTAAAATGACACTAATAAGATTCTACGTAACAAAATATATAAAAAGAAAAATAATAAATGGTATAAAAGTCAAAGCGAGTCAAATATCATATCATATTAGTGTTTAACGAACATAGGAATATATAAAAAGATTCGAACTCTTGTGGGATCCCTACACAACAACCTCTTAAGATTCATTTTCCACCATTAGATCATAGGAATATTATAGATCTTTCTCCCCTTTTCTTTCCCAAATACAAGAATATAATAATCATAATACCCCCAAAACCATCAATCTTAAGATTCCTCAATCCATCCTTACATCATTTTCTTCAAGAAACTTCTGGTCATTTCGATATTGTCAAGGTACAATCTTTCACCTTCTATATATTTCAATTAATTTGATTTGGGTTTTTAAGTTTTTATCAAAATAATTCAATCTCTGAATTTCTTTTTTCTGGGAAAATTAAGATGGAAAAGAGTGATGAAATGAAGAAAAATGAGCAACAAGAATTGAAACATCTGGGTTTTGTGAGAGCTGCTGCAATCAATACAATCGTGTGGTTGACAAATCTTTATGATTATGCTAAGATTAATTCTGGACCGTTGAGATCAGCTGTTGGTACTGTTGAAGGTGCTGTTACTACTGTGGTCACTCCTGTATACAATAAATTCAAGGATGTTCCTGATCATCTCCTTGCTTTTCTTGATCAAAAGGTATAATTTTTTATTCTTTTAATTTTAATTTTCTAATTCCTTTTATTTACGCCGGGGTAGTGATGATTACGGAATTTGATTTATTTGGGCTAGTTATTTTGATTTATGCTGTATTTGCTTTCTTTTTGGGTTACTCTCGATTTTTGTGTTGTGTTGATTGTTTGTTAGTTAATTGATTGTTTATTTTATTATGGTAAATTATCATTAGGATTTTAGTAGAAGTTAATTAATTGTTGAAGGTCTCAATTCATTTGATCCCTCCTTTGTTATGGTATTCCAATTTAATCGTATTTCATGTGTTACATACTCCCATCGTCCCTTAATTATATGCCTGTTTCTTTCATTTATTACTCACGTAATAGAGAGAAAGTACTTCATAAATGATTGAGTCTGACACTTGGACACGTACCTATATTGCCGCTTTGGTATTACAAAGACGTTAACATTACTACACATAAGCTAGTTTGGACTATGAATTTGGTGATTTCATACTTGTAACTTTGTAAGTTGTAAAGATAACAGTGTTACTGATTTGCTATGTAAAATTGTAAATATTGATCTTTAATCTTTCAGAATTTGTGATAATTTTGAGGTTAATCTTTATAGTAGAAGCAAGTGATGTAAATAATTTGCTGTTTAGAAGCACCTTATGGAGTTCAAAGTTATTTCAAATTGTAGTGTCAAACAAGTACTATTTGATGTAGGACTATGAATATAACAAGAATTTTGAAACTAAAACTTCGTTCGTTTCACTTTCATGTCTCTTTAAGGTGAAAAGAATTAAGCCGAAATTGATAATTTGTTGTGTCATATTGTGGACTACTCTTTTTTACTTTATATAGTCTCTGCTAGCCAAGGAAATGAAATGACTCAGAAATGTTTATGATTCAATCTTTAGTTGTAGACCTAAATCCTCTGTTTTATTGTCCTGTCTTTTATTGCTTATTTTGTTTATCGGTTGCAAGTTCATTGTTATCAATTCGCAAACATTGATTATGATCTGTGACCTATATACTTACAAATCTTTCCAGATTAACTTAACTATAAAGAGATCTATGAAAATCAAAAGTAGTGAAATATAACTTCTGGGAATTGAACTGTGTTTGTACAGGTTGATGTAGCTAGTGCCAAATTCGACGAGCATGCACCTCCATTGGCTAAGCAGGTGGTAACCCAAGTCAACGTTGTGATCGATCAAACAACCCAACTAGCCAAAGAGGTGGTTCACCAAGCCCAAGTTGGCGGTCCTCTAGCAGCAGCCCAATATGCTGCTAATGAATCGAAGGAGTTGGTTCTATGTCAATCAGTGAAAATCTGGTCAAAGCTCGACAAGTTCCCACCCATTCACATGGTAGCTGAGATGACAGTTCCAACAGCTGCACATTGGTCTGAAAAATACAACAAAACGATCTCAGAATTAAGAGGGAAAGGGTACGATGTATTCAGCTATGTTCCATTGATACCAATTGATGAGATCTCCAAGGCTTTTAAGCAGTCCAAGGGTGGAAATGAAGGTGAAGTTGATCCCTCAGCTCGTGAAGTGGCCGCATCACAATGAGACCTATGTAGTCTAATTTTCTATGTTCATCATTTGGTTTTAGCTTGCTAGAATTATGTACTGGTAGTTGTGAAACTCTTATGTGAGCAAACGTTGGAAGCTTTGGAAATATTGTGTACATGATGATTAGACATGCATCAGTAAACTGAATCATGCATTTCTTCTGGGCACCATAGACTATATTATCTCGTTTAATCTGTAATCTTCTTATTCACCGGAGCTCTATGTTTTCAGGCGCAGCCAGATGATGTGGTCACTGTTAGACTTCTCTGCTATACACCGTGCCAACGTGAAGTATAAATGTGTCTGTCTGTTCAGGGAAATATCTGAAAAATCGCCGGAATCTAAAATTACAGGCAGATGTTAAAGATTCAAAGTTCAAACCGAAATTGCATTACACACCTCTTGATTAACCAAGAATTGCTAGAGATGGTCCGAGCCACCCAAATAGCCTCCTAGTCTCGTGAGATCCATATTCTTTTCTGTGTTGGGAGGTGTCAAAATTTGCCCAAAACTGAAGATATATTCACGCTTTCAGACCAATTTCGAGAATATATTTTCCAAAAGTGAAGTGAACTTGTAGGCTGTTTGTAAGGGTTATAAAGGTTGGTTTAGGATTTAGGACCATAACAAAGTAGGTCTATATATGAAGGCCCAAGAATGAATTCAATCAAATTTTGGATTTACTTCGAAATTTTGTCACATTAATAGTGAAGAGTAATAAGAGATGTTTTCAACCACTCAAATAATAGCCTCCTATAGTCTCTAAGATTCATGAGAAGTACCAAGGCTTATATTCCACGTTTTCGGACTAATTTTAGATTTTTTTTTTCCCCAATGCAAAGTAGTGAATGTGTAGGATATCCATCCAGAGTCGTGAAAGCTGGTTTAGACCATAACATGCCTATTAATAGATCAAGTTGGTTTAGACCATGATATGCCTCTGAATAGGTCAAATTTGAGGAAAATACAATGTTTATACGTCAATTAAATTGGGTTACTTTTGTTTTTTTTTTTTTTTAAAAAAAAAAAAAAACTAATTACATGTTTGATAATTGTTTTATAACAAAAAAAAATCAAATGATAAAAGCCATTAACTCGAACTATAATTAACCAATATTTGTAACTTTTTATATTGTCTTATACCAGTATTGATATTCACGTGTTAATGTATGCGTATATATATATATATATATATATATATATATATATATATATATATATATATATATATATATATATATATATATATATATATATATATATATATATATATATATCACGTATTAAAAAATTTATAAGCCATACATGTTGAATTGGATAAACTAATTAAAAACGAGAATATAGTTATCTAATGATTGATTATCCTCGAGTGATTAACCAATAGATGCCGATTCGGGGAATATGAGAAGAGAGAAAAAAAAGTGTAAAAGATGAAGATGGAAATTTGAGATGGCGCAAATTCTAAAAGGGTGGATATAAATTTGGATGAGTGGCTCTTGTACACTACCTTTTTTTTTTTTTTTTTTCACCATGATAATCTTTTGTTTTTGTAAGAGAAATTAAGAAAAAACAATAATAATTATAAAGAGGATGGAGCATAAAGAAAAAGGAGTAATTGGTTGCCACACTAGTGGGGTAACAATTTATTCTTTCTTTTTCAAATTGTTATGCCAATGAGGTGACATTTTCATCTTCAAGCAAAGGGATCAATTAACCTCAAATTTTAACCATACTTAAGGGATATGTTACTTAGTCACCATGCATAATCACGAGGTTGATATTATTGAAACGTCTAAAAGCAAAAGTTATTGTCTCCATATTATTTTTAATTTGTTTAATAATTGTTTTTGGCTAGCTAGCTTAGATATATACTTTATCCTTTTTTTTCATAACTGTAATGTAGGAGTAATATACGGCATAATAAGAGAGAATTGTGATAAGAGATGTAGAAAATCATAGTTCAAAGTTAAAATAAAGTAATATTGGAATAATATTTAGCTTCTCAAAAAAATAAAAAACATAGTTATATGAAAAGAAGAGTAATATGCTTTAGGGATGTATATAATTACTTTACAATGTCTAAATTAGATTTAAATTAATTAATCATGTGTAAATCAATGTTATTATTATTATTTGATTTGACTTAATAATTTCATTTTTAGATTTTATAGCAATTTTTCTATAAAGAATTGGAGAAAATATACATGACATGTTAGTCTAAAAGTACAAGCAAATTGGATGATTATAATTTACCTAAGTGTGTGGGGGAAAAGGAACCACCATGATATGCTAGGATTTTCCCAATTGGCAACTAGCCACTAAAAATTCAGCCTTTAATTAATATAACATCATCAAAAATTATGTGGAGTACTCTTAATTTTATGGGGACATATTTCACTTAAGTGCGACTTCTATACTTTTTATTCATTGTGTATATCTTTCTCCCAACATTATCGTATGAATGTAGGTTCATATTTAGGGACTTATTGACCATCTCATTAGGTAACTAATTATGTATTTGAACATGTATGTATGCATAATATATGATTATTGATTAGTGTTAAGGTATACTCGATCTTGTCGCGAAGCATAATCTATTTGTCTTGGTTTAGCGGTTGGAATTGTATATCGTGTGATCAATGGTACTAATACATTTTTACCCAAAAATATGTAATTCATCTGTTCTTTTTAATTACAATTAACATTATATTTGAATTTTGTACTCTTATACTTCGGGGTATTTTGTAATATGTTCTCGAGTTAGTCTCAATGTATATATAGAATTCGTCAATGGATTATCAAGCATCAAAATTAAGCATTAACATAGATAGTCAAACTGTTACAAATAAAAACCGAATGAACTAATAATTACAAATACAAGTATTAAATTTGGCAATTATAAGATCAAGATCTCATGCTAACTAATAATTTATACTGAGTACGGTATAACAGTGAAAAAGTGAGGAATATTTACCATAATTATGCCTCCATATTCGCCTAATGTGGAGGATAGGGAAAAGAAAAAGGTTCCAACCACCATGGCACCATGAAGACCTAAGAATTATATTGCATGTACCTTTTAGTCCCAAATCTCCAATTTTTCCTTTGCTGTATAATTGTTTGTAAAGATTCCCAATTTATATCAATGCTTACTACTTTTTCTTGTTCTGTCACACAAATTATTTTTTAATCTAAACACCAATTAGAATTTTAATAAAGAATGTTGTGATTTTAGCTAAACACCAAAAAAAAAAATTATAATTTTCCTGGTTCTAAAAAAAACTATAAATTTCCTTCTTGAAATGGTTTTCGAAATAAATAAAGGAAAAACATATATGCAGCCCTAAGGGTTGCATATAAGAAGCTAAAGTGGAAAGAATTGACAATAAATATAAAATTATTACACCGATTTACTCGTGAATTGTTGATAAATTCCCAATTTAATACTAAAAAAGGAAATATATTAAATGTTTATATGCAGCCCAGGACTGCATATAGCATTACCCATAAATAAATAAGTAAATCAATGCATATAACACTTTGTATATTTTGCTGCGTCCCCCCCCCAGAGAAAAAAAAAAGTCATGAATGTGCGTGGAGTTAGCGGTCTTTTGAGCTAACTTATTCTTGTTGAAATTAAAGTATACTAGACCAATAAAATTCAAATCAATGCCCAAAAAAATAATAATTTAATAAGGCATTATATATGGACCAAATTATAAAGATTTTATCCAAACCTTAAGGTGAAGTGATGCACATCTTATGTGTGACTGGTTACACCATGTAACTGCTTGTTAAAAAAGTAAATTAACTTCTATAACACCCCCTATAGTTCCAATTGAATAACCCTAATAACACTAACGTAATAACCCTATAATATTGATTGAGTAATTCCTAAAACACTAATTGAATAAGGACTTGTTCTCTTTAGCTTATTTCAGATACTTATTCCTCAATAAATGAAGTAAACTCCAATGATAGATGGCCACGTATAAGAAATTGTCGTGAAATAAAGATACCTTGAATAGCTAAAATATTCCAATTTTTTTCCTAAATTATAAATAAGAATTAGCATGAGTTTTTTTATTTATTTATTTTTTTTAAAAAAGGATCAATATATTTTGACGTTATGAAAGATCCATGGTTGTTAGGGATTGTCAGCAGCATCTATACCACGGACTGTACCATCTGTAAGTCTTCAACTAAATTAGCCAAGACTTCAACTACTGACCTTTAAATGCCCTTCTTATGACCATTTTTTTGGACCCATCTACCTCTAATTTTTGGGGTCATTATTTTTGTTGATTTTTTCAAAATTATCTCATTACATCTAGAAATTAATTTGCTTTATTTGTAGAATTTGCTCACTTCCCACACTATTAGATCCTCCCTTCTCAAAGCATTTCTAGTTTTTCAATATTCCAATTTCTTTCTTCTTTTTACACCTAGTTTCAATTTGTCTTAATTGACTTATTTGTGAAACTTCTAAGTGTTTTTCAATAAATGATTAATAGGCTTACTTCATGAGGGTGAAGTGGTTGGTTTTGAGGTGCACACCTCCTAAATTATGATGGAGACTATTAAAGTTTCAAATGTTGTTATATGGCATAGCATATAATAAAAGTTAGATAATTACATGATGAGAGACAATTTGCTTGCTTGGTACCTATATACTGTATCATTAAATACGCCGCTATAAGTTATGATAATTAGATGTGAACATTCATATTTCATTTTTATAACAATTGAAATCACGCACATGATTGTTAGTACATGTAAGTTCTATAACGCGCATATTGTTTTTCAAAAAAGTAACCATATACCGAAGATAATATAAGGTTAATGTATATACGTAAGATCTTTTGATCGTCTTTAAGCGTTATTAATTCTTGTTAATGAGATCTTGTTAATGGGAGATGAAGTGATAGTTTTGTTAGAATACTTATATTTCATGTGCTCTTTATTACCGATACCACTTGGATTTTAATGTAATTCACACAATGTTCTTTTTCACTATATTTCATTATTTCGTGATCTATAAATAAAAAAACATGTAATCACATAAGGATTTAATTATTTCATTTGATCTTAATATATGCTTTTAACATATAAATTTATCTATTCTATCTTTTTAACTAATAATAATTGATCAATGATTATATATATAATGAGAAAATACAAGTTAATCTATTTCATTAACAAAAAAGT